GCATGCCAGGTTTATGAGTGATTAAAGCTGCAGTTCAAAGCTCATCTGATAGAACCCTTATCAAATGCAATCAAATACATGAATTCTGTTCCTACAGAAGCGGAAATTGTACTCTGTAATGCTTTACATTCTTTAAGGTATTTTTTATCAACTACTACAAACACTACACCCTAAGAACCTTTTTTCAGAATTCGGCATCGTTATAGGGTAACTACCGTCGTGATTGCCTGCATCAAGTTCAGTCTTGCTTCGCAAATTTAAAAGATCAGGAAAGTATGATCTAATAGTGGACAAAGTATAATTGATGGATATTAATCTAACTTTTGCTTATATGTGGTCTCTGGAGGGACGCGAATTCAGTGTCTGTCAGGGATGTAGTGATGGTGTGCATGCAAGCCCCTCCACCCACGCTGATGCATGTGACACCATTAGCTACACAATGTTTTGTAGAATATCCCTCTTGCAAACTGTAGCATAATATTTTTTGCCTCATATAATGAAGAATAGTATGCTCAGATCTGTAATATTAAAGAAAGTATGATATGTAGAGTAAATCCATCATAATATAGCTGGAAAGATTTGCCTGATATATTGGTAACAATTGATATATTGGTAAATTAAGTTACCACTGAAGTCTTGCAATATCTTTTTTATTTCAACAGTTACGGTCTTCCAGTAATTTAAATCGATAGTGGAATTTTTAGTTCTTTAAGTTCTTAATGTGTTATGATTACCGACTTCTGATTAACAGCACAGAAAGTTCCTTAAAGAAGATCTGTTTTGTTCATTGTTATGAAAAATGAGCACAAAGCTATATGTAATTAAAAAATGCATTTGATTTGGAAACTAGATGTTTATTCACAAATTACGAAAACTTACATTGTTAGTCCATGCACTTTGAATAATATAGTTACTGTATGATTTGTCAGCAATACAATGAGTGGGGGAATACAGTATGCACTGTATAGTATAGAATTATATTCCTTTACTGAAGAATCTTTCCAAATCTAATTCTAGAACAAAACAAAATTGTCATGACATTCTCTTCACACGCGTTGGGTTGGTGCACGGATTTCTTTGCGCTCCTCTCAATTATTTATTTATTTATTTATTATTTTTTTTAACCTGCTGGAGAAGTTTTTGGCCTGAAGTTGTCTTTAGTAAACTACAGGCCACAGACTTTAATCATATTCTTAATTATAATATATATGTAAACAATATCCAAAAAGTCAGATGATACACCACACCTGTCTCCAGCAGCTGCCTTCCATTAGTAGATTCCTCTTTGAGAGAATGACGAATGTCTGTACTGCTTTCACTTCTGACATTTATGCAGGTTTAAACAAGCACCTGCACCGCCGTATAAAAGATTTCATCAAACAGAGCGGACAGACGAAGATACACAGGGTCTACATCCTCAAACCCGGGAATACGGGGTTTCTTGGGGTCTTGCATCTACCTTCTACAATGAACCCATAAGGTAAGTCCCCTTCCATTCACCTGCATCAAGACCATCCCCATCTAGTTTACATCTGGTGGTAAGTGGTGGTCGAACCTTAAAACGCCCCCTACACTACTATACTCGCCAATCCGATCCACCTGCTTCGCCAACTCTTTGCAAACCCTCATCAGCACAACCATGAAGTCTCAGTTCTAACCAGCACCACCAATACTTCCTCACCACAATTTATGTATGTGTGCTTATTAATGGCACATTAACAATTACCCTCACTGCACCCACCCACACCTCAATATGAATTGCCTTCTTTCTCAACAAACACTACTAACTTTACATTACAAAATTTCTCACTGTCGATCATCGTTTTAACAAAACAAAGCCACACTGAAATTAGACCCATGACCCATCTTCACCTCCCACCTAATTTACTGCATTCTATATGTTCTGAGCCTGTAGTTGCCAATATGGTCACTAACAAGACCTTTTAGAAACATAACGAATATTATTATCGGTAACCCATTATTTCGACACTGCAGAATATGGAGAGGACCTAGATATTTCTCCCCTGTACTTTCCTCTTTCCTCCCTTCCTTTCCACCATTTCCGTTCCTCTTTTTCCTCTTTTCGTAAAAATATTTAAATATCTCTTGTGGCAGTGCTTATTATCATTATATGCTTGCTATCATTTTGAATGCTACTCACGCTTGGTTTTGTGACTTGTCTGTATATCAAATACATTAGACTTACCATTTCATTTTTAGCCAATAACGTATATAAAATAGAAATGAGACTGACCTTGCTATTGGCCGTAGGTACAAAGTCTCACAGGCTTACAATCTTTTGTTTTTCTTAAGGGGAATACACTTAATTTTGGTTCTTTTTAATAGTTTACATTGCAGCATGGTACGCAGCACAATGATATGGTATTTTTCTGGACATTCACCCCCTTCCTTAATATAAATATGTGTCCTATTCAGCGCCCTCATCCTCTCCGAAATTAGCATGCAACGGACTAGAATCTGGATGAGCACATTCGATCTG